CCCTGACTGGTGCCAGGAAGGAGAAGAAGGCCCTTGAACCACTTTTCCCTGGCCGCTCAGCTCGCCCCGCCTTGTGGCAGGCAAACCCCAGGGTTAGACCAGCCGGAGCCCCACTCCCAGGGCGGGTGGCGAGTGCTAGCGACTCCCGAGTGGGAGACCCCCGAGTGGGAGAGCGTGCTCAGCCCCTTCGTTTCCCATCTTGGCGAGAAGTCCCCGACTCTACACGGTCACAGAACAAGTTGAAGGGACAGCGCCGGAGGTCACAGTTTGCAGAGCCCATTTCTCAATCTTTTATTAGGGGAAGAGCCAACTGTGCTCCCAGCGGGGTTTCTTCCAACTACGTCAGAACGCCTGTGACGCAGAGGCCATCACCACACGCAGCTGGCAGTCCGGAAGGTGGGGCACAGCGGGGCTTGTCACTGGCTGATAAGGTGACGTGGGCCATGTCCCATCACCCTGCGGCACACTTTCCAGGTGAGGCTGCTCCCTGTGCCTCTGCGTTTCGGCTCATCCTACGGGGCCTCCCATGAGTGTTAGGCTGGAGGCAGGGAAGAGACAGGTGCATGATGAGCTGGGCCAAGCTCTGAAGGCTTCCTGGAGGAAGGGGCACACAGGAACGTAGCCCCAGGGAACATGGGCAGTTACTCAGGCAGGTGCCAGGGGAGTTTGCTTAAGTTCCAGGTTCTGGCCTCTCACCTTCAGAGACTATTCAGCCGGGACGATGGTCTCCAAACCTGTCATTATGACAACTATCTTCAGGCAGCTCCGATGCAGGGAGCCTCAGACTTAGAGCTGATGTGGCCCAAGGACTCAGCAGTCAGGCTGGACCCACCCCTGGCCTGGTGGGTGCTGGGATTGCCCTGGGCTGGAGTCTGCTCAGGGAGGGGCTGCGGCAGCCACAGGCGGCCCGCACTGAGCTGTTTCCCTTCGCTTTGGCACGAGCAGTTGGGATGGTGGCTCTCCTGGCCATTCCCACAGGTGAGTTCAGCCAGAGGGCCTGGCGAGGCCAGCAGGCCCACTGTTCCTGGCGCCAGCAGACACAGGACTGCCTGCATGTGCACGCACACACTTCTGCCCAACCTCACGTGGGTTTGCTGATGCAGCTAGATTCATTGGCCTAGCTCAGTGATGGCGAACCTTTTGAGCTCGGCGTGTCAGCATTTTGAAAAACCCTAACTTAACTCTGGTGCCGTGTCACATATAGAAATTTTTTGATATTTGCAACCATAGTAAAACAAAGATTTATATTTTTGATATTTATTTTATATATTTAAATGCCATTTAACAAAGAAAAATCAACCAAAAAAATGAGTTCGCGTGTCACCTCTGACACGCGTGTCATAGGTTCGCCATCACTGGCCTAGCTCATCAATTTGTAAGGCCTTTCTCCCCACCTGTGCCCCTGGAAATCACTGGTTTGGGGAACCTTGTAATCATCGAAGCCTCTGAATTAGTCTTACTCCAGACCTCAAGGCCCCTCCCCCTGGCTGCTCCTGAAACCGTTTCTCAGGACAGGAAACCCTGGTTCACAGACAAATGAGACCAACTCTGGAGCGTGGGCACCTCCACCCCCCAGCCTCCGGCCTTGGTGGCCGGACGTGTCCTCTGAGGGTGATCATGGGAGTGGGGCTAGGGAGGCAGCACCTCCAAGGCCCCTCCCAATGCACCCCCAGCCAATGCCGGCCCCTCTGGAGTGGAAAGTGTCTCTGCAGGAAAGTGTCCCCACCCCCCGCTGCTGCCCTCTCCACCCTCTCCCTGTCCCAAGGACATTTCCATGGTAACAGCTCTTGACATAAACAGGGATTTGAATTGAAGGTGGGAGCTTTGGCCGGGTGCCCAGTCCAAGCCGCACAGAGGGTGGGGGAAGCATGTGAGGACCACGGGAGGCTGGCCTGGAGGAGGAGAGCGGCCAGCAGCACCAGGACCAGTGGGGCTTCTGTGATGCTGGAGGCAGGGTCCTGCGTGTCCTTTCACCTTTCACCAGGCCTCAGCTACAGGACAGGAGATGTCCCTCCCTGCCCCGCCCAAACCTTCGTCCCACCAACGACACTGCCATCGAGGCTCCTCCATTTCTTCCCTGGGTCAGCCACAGCCCTTCAAAGCCCAAATACCCCCGAGGGAGGACAGGCAAGGCGTGGGGCTCCCTCAGAACTGAGCTTTCCAGATGTGTTGTCTCTAGCCCCTCACTTTTGCCCCATCACCCCCTTTCCTCTCCCTTCCCGGACTCTTCACCCCCGACATCATACTGCCTGTCTTCCAGGGGCCTCCCCCCGCCCCCACCAGGAATGTGAGTTCATGAGGGCTCCACACAGGGTGCCTGGCTCTCGGCCGTGGCTGTGCACATGTGTTTAGTGAGAGAATGTGGGTGGGTGGGTGGAGGGGTGGCTGGGTGACTGGTGGGTGGAGGGATGAATAGAGGCCTGCCAAGCGGGCACCAGGGAGGCCAAGCTCACTTGGGCCCCCGCGCGTTCACCCCATGCTGGCCCGGACCCGTCCACTCGGCCGAGAGGACCCAGGTGTTTGGGCTGCCCCTGCACTTGCAGGGGGTGAGACCCCAGGAGGGAAAGTGATGACCACAGTGGGTCAGGCAGGAGTGAGGGTGCTGGGAATTGGGAGGGGTCAGAGCCATCGTGCTCACTACGCCAACCGTCCTGTCACCTGTCAGGGATGGAGCAGGAGGGAATTCAGTGGCTCTCGCCTCATTGGCCTGGCGAGGCCACCCTGCCCTCCCTCCGGTTGGGGTCACCGACCAGGCTGTCCCTGAAGCAGTCTCCTCAACCAGTCCTGCCCGTGGGACCCTCCCCGGCACAGAGGGGACCCCGCCCAGCACAGCCCTAGGCTGGGCCTGGGTGCCTTCTCTCCGACTATTAGGGGGACCTGGCCTGGCCTTGGGGTCTGATCCCACGGCAGGAGCCCTTGTCCAGCACACAGTCCCGTGAGACCTTGTGGGAAGGGTGCTGTGTCCAGCCCCCAGGCCACCCTGACCACTCGGGGAAACAAGTGTCCTCCTGGGCCAGAAGCCTCCACCTGCCACCACACCCCTCAGGCCCTGCCCTCAGCACCACGGACAGCGCCCCACCCAGCTGTCTGTATCCCCCACCACCACCCCGCCCCCACTCTCGCCAGAGGGAGAGGCCAGCTCTGCGCCATCTTGGCCCGTTTCTGGCAGCACAAGTTCTGAAAGCCACGTGCTGCAGAAATGTGACATCGGACCATGTCTCCCCTTCGGACCGCACTCCCTTCCACACACCCATTAGTGACCCAGTGGTTCTCAACCTTCCTAATGCCGTGACCCTTTAATACAGTTCTTCATGTAGTGGTGACCCCCAACCATAAAATCATTTTCGTTGCTACTTCATACCTGTAATGTTGCTACTGTTATGAATCGCAATGTAAATATCTGATATGCAGGATATATTTTCATTGTTCGCGACCCACAGGTTGAGAACCGCTGCAGATACTGTGCCTGTCTCCTGGAGGCCGCACAGGCGCTGTGACCAGGGGGAGGGGAGAGGTGGCTGCTTCCCAGCTTGGAATCTAAAAAGCACCAGTGTCTCCCTTGCAGGGGGAGTGGACAGCAGCCCAAAGGCGACGCTCTCCCACGATCTGGGTTTAAGCTGGGAAACACCCGTGGGAGCCAGGCAGGGCCTGCTGCCCAGCAGACCACACCTAGCCCAGCGTCCTTCGCTTCCCACAGCCCTGGGGGCGGGGGGCGGGGGATGTGCTCCAGGCTGGCGTCTCCATCTCCATGCAGGTCTCCTCTCCCTGGAAGACCTTCGACCTTCAAGTGCAGCTGGTACCCTACAGCTGAACCAGCTACAGGCTCTTTGTATCTGGGCATCGGTATCGATCCCCCACTGGCTGGGCTCCCAGTCCCAGCTCTAAGCGTCCCTGCCGCCACCCCCTGCCCCCTGCCTGCCCCCTGCGAAGCAGTTAATTTCCGCTGGACACACTCCAGAGGAGGCCCGGCCTCCAGGTGGAACACTGCCGAGTGACGACTTGCTTGTGATAAGGAAGAATGATGGGCACTGGGTCTGTCTCCAGGCCACTGACCCACAAGCAAGCGAGTGAGGGTTGGACCGGAGCATAAGGCTGGCACCTCTGAGCCTGTTTCCTCAGCTGCGAGGGGCCTGTCGTGAGGAGGGACTTGGCACCGGCTGGGTGTCTGGAGTTGCTGAATCGTCACTGCCACTACGTCACTATTGTAAGGAGTCACCTGGCAATTACTCCTCTGCTCCTTCAAGGGGAGGTCCCTGTGCCCACAGCTAAGGGGTCCCTGCAGCACCCCAGCTCAAGGGCCTTCAGAGCTCACGGGCCAGGCTCCGGCTGCCGGGCGGCTTGTGTGGGGCTCCATCCCGGCAGCCCGAACCTGAACCTGAACAACAGGTCTCTGACACCTGCTGCCCCTCAAGCCAGCGGCACAGCCAAGCCCTCGGGCGCTGCCCCTGGCCTTCAGCTCCCTGTGAATAAAGGAGAATGTCCTGACAGGCCAGCGGCACAGCCAAGCCCTTGTCCCGGCCAGCTGGCCGCCTGCCGGAGCCTCCCATGCAGAGCCCTCGAAGGAAGGGCCAGGACAGGAGGAGGGGGGAGGGCCAGGTCTTCATTACTCTGCTGTGGATGGAGCTGCTGAGCGGATCGGAGGCCACTGTGGCGGAGGGCAGGCCTGGGTGGGGGAGAAGGCCTAAGTGACCCTCCAGGAGCTTCCAGTCCTCCTTCCAATCCTCCTCCTCCTCCTTCAACTCTGAGCCACCTTGCTCTCTCTCAGCCCCAAACCTGGCACCAGTAGAGATGGACTCCGCCTAGGAGACCCCATCTGTGCCCATGAGATCTGTCCCCAGGACTGAGGCCATGAGACCCCCAAGGCCGGGCCCCTCTGAGGCAACGCAAGAGCACATCAGGATTTGGCCACAGTCCCTCATGCTTGGCGAGGTCTGAGCCCCCAACTAATGGCCCATTTGGAGTCTCATCACATCATATTGGACCCCGCCCTCTGGCGTGCACCCTGCCCAGACCAGGCTTGGCTGCTGCCCGTGAAGCCCCCACACCGCAGGCCCGGGGCCTCCGATGGAGGGAGGAGCCCCTCCCGGGTTGGGAATCGGGACCTGCCCCCTGCTGGCCCCTGGGCCCGACCACGCCCTGAGCAAGGAGGGCTCTGCGCCCGGCGGAGCTGGGGCCGAGCTAAGGCCCTCTCCAGCTTGTGCCCTGGGGCCCCCGCTTTCGGGAGGCACGTATGACCCACAGACCCCGAGCTGGGAAGCTCCAGCCCCGGCCCCTCTGCTACAGGATCTCAGACCAGGCTCAGCCTCCCACCCGTAAACTGAGCAGCCGCCCCCACCCCCCACCCTGGGCTTGGTGAGCAGGGATGCCCTCACCAGGGGAGCGAGCGCAGCAGACTCAGAAAGCTCCTCCTACTGTTGACACCGGGCGGGGTGTCTGCGGCTTCCCGGGAACAATGGCCTTGAGGTGATGCTCAGGCCAGGTGAACCCTCCCTGCAGCACCTTCGGGACCAGTTTCCAGGGGCCTGAGTTCCCACAAACATGGGCTGGAGTCGGTGAGGGTGGGGGTGCCTGGCAACGCAATGGCGGCGGCTGTGGACGTCTGCCTGCAGGGTACACGCCAGAGGCTGGGGAGGCTGCATGGCTCTGGGTCTGAGCTGCTGAGGCCAGTGGAAGAGGTGGGAGAGGAAGCGCCTCGACCCCCAGCCCAAGCCAGTGGGACAGCTGTGGGCCCAGAGGCCATTTCCGGGGCAAGTTTGCCCAGCGAAGGAGTGTTCCCAACAAGGGGCGTGGGGCCTGACCTGCCCCGCATTTCCACCCCGATCTCCACGCCCAGCTCTCCTGCCTGGGTGGGGGAGCTCCTGCAGGGAAGGCAGGTCCCCAACATCCACAGCCTGCCGACTCCAGGGGCGTCCACACCATCCCGTCTCCAGTCCTAGGGGCTAATTCCAGAGGCAGAGGCCCCCTGTGCCAGGGACCGGATCTTCAAATCAGCACATTCGGGGGCGGGCAGGGCTCTCGTACTCCAGTCCTCTGACCAGCACTGACGGGCATCCGAGCTCCCTGAGGCTGCCATCAGCATCCTGGGGTGCTGCCTGCTGAGGGTCCGCAGGGTCCGCAGCGGCCACCCTGCATGGCTGCGCTCGGGCTGGGCTCTGGTGCTGGGATGCTACGGGGCCAGGGGGCGAAGCTGTGCTCCAAGCTTCACTGGGAGCCCCGGTGCCCTGAGGGTCTGGGGTCAGTCGGAGCTTGGCAGAGGCACCGCCAAGCCTGGGGCCAGAGAGCACAGGGAGCAGCAGGGAGAGTGGTTGCGATACACCCACCCCAGGTCCCCAGGTCCCCGGCCCACGGTGGGTCCTGGGCCATCTGGTCTCTTTGTCCCTGCTGCTCCTGTCCCAGGCTCATGGGGGCAATGAGGTCCAGTGAGCCCTCTCGGTCTTGGTCCCTTATGGGGAGGGAACACTGGGCATTCAGCCTCCACACGGGAGCCAGGAGTCAGGACCAGTGCGGTGCCTGTAGAAGGGGACGCAGACCTTGTCGATTAGGTCCTATTGATTAGCGTATTGAGTGGACACAGCCGGACACGTCCCCTGAACTAGTGTCACTCGTGTAGAGTGAGTCCCGCCAGGAGGGGCAGCTGTGCCCCCTGCCTGTGAGGCAGCGTGGCCCCGTTTCATCGCCAGCATGTTCTACGTGGATGGTCAAAAGCACCTGGGCGGGTTATCATTTTGTTACTTTCATCCTGACGAAGCCGAGGCCATCGGCTCAGGAGAGGGCCCGACGCCACCGACACCACAGCTCCTGTCCCGGCAGGGACCCGACCTCCTGCTGCCCCACCCACCGTGCTCCCCGCTGAGCCCGGAGCTGTCTCTCCATAAACCCAGCTCTGCTCCCTGTTGACAAAGACACATCCGCAATAGCTCTTCATGCTCCAAAGCCAGGAGCCGGGAGCCAGCAGCCAGCGCCAGGGGCCTGCTGCTGGGACAGCAAGGGAGCAGGCTCGCGGCCCTCAGGCGCCTTCCTCATTCTGCCATTAAGCCACCAAACTTCCCGCTGTGAGAATAAACAAGTCACCTTTTCTGTCAAAGAACAGTTTGGCTGCCGCCATGTTGGGCTGAGTGACTTGGCAGCCGCTATGTTGACCGTGTGACCTGCAGCTCCCTGGGGGCCACCATCTTGAAATGGCAAAGGCCCACCCCTCCCTTTGAATTAGCCAATCATGAAAGACTGTGCGCCTGAGCTCCAATCAGGAGTGAGGGACAGGTCACGTGCATCAGATTAAAAAGCTGAGCGACACCCTATTGGGTGCACATGCTTCCAGACCATGTGTGTGCACCCTTCCACTTGGAAGTAAAGATATTTGCCTGCTGCCTGGCTCCCAGTGTGCTTTGTGTTCTACCAGGACCCCTGACTTGGGGGGCTCACCTTATTTCTTACAGTTTGGGGGTGCGTCCAGGATCCCGTTTGTCATCACAGGGGGAAATTGGACCCCTCTCCTGAGGAGGTGTGCCCTGCTGCCAAGTTGCAGCGGCCTCGGTGAGGTGGGACAGCCATCACCCCTGGGAGGACTCTGAGCTCAGGATCGAGAGTCAGCCAGCAATGCAGGAAGGGCCCAAGCAAGACCCACGTCAATCAGGTGACCTCATGCATGAGCCAAGGTGGGAATTGGACTAAGAACTACTTTGGTGATTGGGTGTCCTTGGAGGTTGGGCATATGTGACTGGGATGTGTCTTGGACATAAAGTGAGTGCGGAGTTCTGATCTGCGGTTCTGTTCTCCTGCAAGGGAAGTGGCAGAGAGGGACGAAGCAGATCTCGGGGAGTACGAGAAACCTCCAACATGGGGGGTTGAGTACATAGTCACAAGGGACCTGCCAAGGATGGGAAGCAGAAATTCTAGGCCTAGGGAATACATTCCCCCAAAATAGTCCATTGGGAGAATGCTGAGGTTCTGGTGAGGGGCAGTTCCCAAACCAGGGAAAGAAGGCATTGCTCTGCTTTAATGGCTCTTAATACAGGGCATTCTGTGGTGTAAACTTTTAGTATGTTGCACACACCTGTATTAGAGTGTTCCTGTTGATGTTTTATATCTCTTTGTTGTTTGTTTAATTTGTTTAAAAATGGGGCAAGTCCCGCTTTGGGGAAGCCCAGTTATGTGTGGTGAGGCTGAACACGGTGACAGAGATTGCAGGAATGTCCCAGCAGCTGCCAAGAATTCTTAATCTTGGGGATTCATCCTGCTCTCCCTGGCAGGGTGTTAGCCTGCCAGAAACTCTTAGCTAGTGAGATTTCTGTCTGTGTGTCTGTAATGTAATTTTGGCTTTCTACCTTTTATGGACTTTAGTTTACTCTTCCTTGGTTTATGAATATAGGGACAAAGATAACAGGGGGAAGTAGGGATTACAGGCATGGGGAAGTAAGCTATACAAGCTGGGTTGGGCAACAAGCTTAATGTTTCCATGATAATGAGCAGTTCTTGAATGAGGATGGACCGCATTCCAAGGCTGACTCCCAGGTCCAGGGGCGTACAACTCCCAGCCAGGTTGGTATGCCCTTTCTTTGAACAGAAAGGGCAATCATGGTTAACAGCATAATTAATATTTCCCATAACCATAACTAGTCCCCAGTGTTCTATTTTTCCCCATAACACTTGGAGGAACAATCTGTAGAAATACCCTCTAGCAGTGAAGGGGCGGCGGGGGGGGGGGGGGGGGGGGGGGGGTGGAGGCACTCCTGCTTTCAAAAGGGAAATAAAATAAAACAGTACTTTCACATTAAAGCCACTGAAGACTAGTGAGTTATCCCTGTTACAAAATTGGTCAAGAAAATGCTTTGGTTAATAGTTGGCTTTAAAATTTCAAAGTTGTTAAGATATAATAAATAGATGTAACTAAAATGAAGGGTTTATGATAAAGCTTTCCAGTAATAATTATAAATGTGTTAATAATGAAAGTCCAGTCACTCAAGAGGAGACTGACTGTGCTCTGTTGGAGGAAGGGGCCAGTCCTCCTTCCCCTGTAAAAGGCAGAGGAGCCTAAAGAGAACAAGGACGGACAGAGAAGGGGATCCCTTGTCCTGCCTTCCCCTCCCTGTGCAACTGAGGGACAATCTGAGGGAACATCCAAGATGGCAATTTACAATTCCAGCCACCCCCTCAGGAGGAGAGCTATCCTGATAAGGCTCCAACTGGCCCTGAGGCCACGGCACCAGAGATACAAGCTTTTTTAGGCTGTGAAAGGAGTTGGAGCAGTAAAAAGAAAAAAAAAAAAGAAAAGAGTTAAAACCTCTGCTGGAAGACCCACATGGCTTAGCTGACCAGCTATACCCATTTTGGGGCCCACAAGTGTATACGTAGACCGAGTTAATGTCTATCGTGGGAATACTAGTCTCAGGAAAAGAAGGGGGAATGATTCGAAGGTCAGCTATGGCTATCTGGGAAAGGGAGCACCTGGCTGGCCCTGGTGTGCTTCCAGCAGATGTAAGATTTCCAAACCCGGGAGCCCCAGTGGGACCTTAACAACGAGGCCCATATGGGACATGAGAGATCTTAGGGAACTAATAATTAAAGGGATTAAGGGAGCAGTTCCCTGGTCTTGGAACCTAAATAAAGCCTTTAATATTCAACAAGGCAAAGGAGGGCCTTCTGAATTGTACCAAGACTAAAAGATTAGATGAGAAAGTACTCTGGGCCAGACCCCGAGGACCCGTTGGGCCAAGGAATATTAAAATTACATTTTGTCACCAATAGTTGGCCTGACATCTCAAGAAAATTACAAAAGTTAGAGAACTGGAAGGATAGAAGTGTCGAAGAGCTGTTAAAAGAGGCTCAGAAGGACATAGACCTCTGTACAGAAAAGCTAACCACAGAGACTGCTGTTTAGACTGCAGAGCGAGGTTGGACCCATCACACACGGGTTAAGGGCGGATACACCTCAACTTGGACAGCCATACCAGGACATGTCCCCTTGAAAGTGATGCTAAAAACTGTGAGCTGTCTTAATAAGCATCATGTACTGGGCTCTATTTGCTTTAGGGATCTGGCAAATTGCAGGGGCTTACAATGTGGGCTGGAGAAATGTGTACAATCTGGTTCATGCTTACCCAGTTAAGATATTGATTATAGATCACTTGAATGACTTGGATATTTCAGCCTTTAGGTCAAAGATTGGCTAGGACTAGATTTAGGAGTAGATGTCACAGGACAAGATCCCCTAGGCCACTGCCACCGCCATGCAAATAGAAGTAGGTTATAAGGGAACAAAAGCCTGGGTGGAATGGATTAGATATTCTGTACTCGCCCTAACTAAAAGCGACTGTTACGCTTGCGAGGCAGAAAGGCCAGAGGCCCAAGTGGTCCCATTCCCATTCGGATGGACCTCAGACAGTAACGGGATGGAATGTGTGCTTGCCTTGTACCAGGAGGAAACCACCTGGGAAACACTTCCTGTAAGACTCTGCCCTGTTGTTCCCATTCAACAGAGGTAACGAGCAAGGACCCCCCAAAACTATCCGGCCCCGCCCTCCAACGTAAACTATACCTCCTGCCTCTCAAGGGGGAACAGTGCTTGGAGTTTATGAGAAATTTATCCGGATGCGTAAATGGCTGAGCATCCTCAGAAGCCCATTGTGCTGCACTGTCGGTACCCGGGCTGATGTCTGGTGGTGTCATGGGGACCCTGACTTGGGCCTTGCCCAGCAGTTGGAGTGGACCGTGCCCTCTGATACAATGGCTATCCCTTTCACGTTGGCACATCCTAAACCTTTTTCAATGGACAGACAGACTAGGAAGAGGAGAGGGTCCGGGGGCCCCTTTGATCCCCATATGCACACAGATCCCATTGGGGTTCCAGGAGGGGCGCCAAGGAGTTTAAGGCTAGAACTCAGATTGCCGCAGGGTCTGAGTCTGTCCTGTGCTGGCGGCCACTGTGAACAAGAACGTGGTGGATTAGTTATATTTTCTAGAACCAGCAAAGGCTTGTTAACTATGCTCGAGACGCAGCTAAAGGGAGAGTGAGCAGCTAGAGGCCAGCAGCAGGCTGCCTGGGAGAACGGGCAGAAGGAGGAGGAGCAGGTGTCATGTTGGAGCCAGTGCTGCTCATTCGTCCCTGACAACACGGCACACGGACGTCGCTGAGCCTAAGGCACCGGCAGCTTTAGTGACGAGTGAGCGGGAGCCTGGGGCCGAGGCTCCTTCCCCGATTCCCTGGAGCGATGGTTGGGAAGGGAAAGGGAGCGCTGGTGTCCACTTCACCCCTTTGATTGGGAGCTGCAGTGATGGGTGTCACAGCATCCCGTGTGTGGGGTCTTATCCAAGGGCTAATCGGAACCGCATGGACCCAACCGCAGTTAGTCTCCTCCTGGACACTGCAGAGCAGGAAAGTCAATGGATGTCAGCGAGTTCGAAGACAGAGTTTGAATAAAGAAAAGGGGGGAATTGTGAGAAGAAACAAGTCATCTTTTCTGTCAAAGAACAGTTTAGACAACTGCCATGTTGGCCCCATGACCAGCTCCCTGGGGACCGCCATCTTGTAATGGCAAAGGCCCACCCCTGCCTCTGAATTAGCCAATCCCGTCGGCCATGTGCCTGAGCTCCAATCAGGAGTGAGGACAGGTCACATGTGTCAGGATTAAAAAGGCCAGCGGACCGCCTGCTCAGTGCACATGCTCCCAGGCCATGTGCGCACCCTCCTGCAGGAGGAAAGATGCTGCCAGGCTCCCGGGCATGTTTTGTGTTCTACCGGGACCCCTGGATGGGGGGGGCTCGCCTTATTTCTTACACCATCCCTCAGACTCAGCTCCCCACCCCATCTTTCTCTTCCTTCTTGCCCTGGAGCCCTGGCAGGTGGGCTGGTCTAGACCTCCCTCTCTGCTCTGGGCCCAGTGGTACCTGTTTGGCTGTCCAGGTGCAGGGACCCGTCTGGTTCACTGTCTCAGGGCCTGTTCTCAGGGTGGCTCTGGGTCTGTCCCAGTGCTGGGGATGGCATCCGCTTGCAGTTTAAATGTGTTTTCTCGGCCTTGGACACACAGATTGGGCTGTGGCTGTGTCCTTCTGTGGCTCAGCCCCACTGCGGACAGTGCTCTACTGCTGAGGGCCAGGCTGCTGCTCAGCATGGATACCACGCAGTCCGGCTCCCCACTCTTCCACCCGGGGACCTGTGTCCCTTGTGTCCTGTGCTGGCCTGAATAGGGGCTGTTCCTGCACTCCCAAATGGGGTCTGGAGTCTGACTGTCCCCAGGGGCATGGGGCACAGGACACATGCGGACTGGAGGGCGGGTAACTGGGAGTGTGGCCCCCTGGCATCCCGGATGCCCCGCACTTTTCCGAGGAACCACGGAAGCATTTGCAGGTTTGGAAGCTGCCTTGGTGGA